CCAAATATCCATAGGACTGGGTTGAAGGTAGAAGTGGGGCCATGGGAACAGTACATTGCGCCCTGGTGCACCCTCAGACAGGATATGACCGCTGGTTTGTTGTAACCCCGCCTGAAAAATGTGTGTGATCGCTTGTGAAACTAATGATTGAAAATCCAAGGACTGACCACAGCTGTGTCCCTCTCCTGCACGGAGACCAGCAGCAGTTGGGGTGAACATGGCCTCCGGCATAGTCTGAGGTATCTGAGGGGGTAGGCTCGTAGGACCCGAAAAATGGGCATAGGCGGATCAGGTCCTCCCTGAACACTGGCCAAATTATGGTCCTGAGTCTCGTATGTAAGGTCCTTCAGTGGCCATGCCACATTATCAGCCTCCTGAGGAGCAAAACGTTAATCACAGACTGCTGAGCCACTGTAGCTTCTAGTTGGGTAAGGCTAGAGCCAGGCTGCGTTTGTCGCTGCGCCTTGTTGAACTGACGCTCTAAGGCATTATGCCGGTGTTGGGCATCCTTATCAACCCCAGTAACTGCTCTGGTTGACCTAGTGGGCTTAGCAGAGCATGAATGTGCCCTCTTGCTCCTCAAAGGCTTGGAGGATGTAGCCCTGGGTGGGGAGGGATCCTGATCAATGTCCGAAGACAACTCCGCATCTGCCATTGCTCTTAAGGGTAGTGATGCATGACAAAGGAGCATAAATAGGACTCTCTAACACCTCCCCAGCAATATGGCCCCATCAGAAAATAGAATAAAATGCACACTTCCCTTTGAAGGTAGCAGAGGTGTGAGGTGTAGAACGATGGCGGGAGGCAGGGCAATGCCGGGACCGTGTCCTCAGCCCGTCACTTCGCTCACAGCTCTGATAGATCAAGTCCAGAGCCTGTAGAAATCAACCGCCCAATTCCAAAGCCCATGAAATGGCGGGATGAGCGACAAGCGGCCCCAAATGGCGGTCGCGAGTAGGCAATCCCCTCAGCAGACCGCAGGCAATGAAAACAATCCGTTACGAAATGCTCTGTTCAAGCTTGCAAGTCCACTGCGCCGCGAACTGTCAAGTGAGAAAAAATGGCGGGAAGATTCAACCGCCGCGAAACGTCCTCCCGACAAGCCAAGTATGCCTCAAGAGGCAGGGACTGCTATTCCACTAAGGCACCGAGAGCTGCAAGGGGAAAGGCGGTTGCCGGCACGCCGGACAACCAGCTCTTTCACCAGTGGCAAATGGCTGTGCGTGGCGTCCCAAGACAAGCCTCAGAAGCGCTGCAGTTTAAATATACGTATCGGCGGCTGGTGCCCCAGAGCCCCGGGAACACCCACTCGCAAATCGCCCCGTATGATGTTTTTGCTACTCCCACGAAGCACAGCTCTTGAGAAAGGCAAAGCGCCAAAATTTGGAAAAAAATAAAGAAACGAATAAACAAGAAATAGTATAACTGTGAAGAGCAAAGGCACTCAAGTCTGACTCCCAACAACTGAGTGAAAATACTGCGCATTCGGAAACGGAGTGGGCGTGACTCCAGCTACAGAGGGAAATGATTGGCACTCAGTCGAACCAATGGGAGTGAGGAATACCCATGTGTGGGAATATCGGAGCAGCGAGTCAGGAAAATGGAGCTTCTGCGGGCCAAATTTTCCCCTCTGAAGCTCCATTTAGGAAGGCAATCTGCTGGGTGAAGCCTGTGGAGGTCCAAACAGAACTGCAGAGGGGTGCAAGCAGCTGAGAGGCTGGAGAGGAGACTGCTTGATAAGTGACCCAGCACAGCAGGTTTGAGAAGCAATTGGGAGCATGAGGTATTTCAGTGGGTTGGGGAGGCCTTGGGTGGTTTTAGGCAGGTGGCCTGTTCCATCAGGAAGGCCCCCCATGGCCTTCCTCATCCTGAAATACCTCATGTGCACTTAAGAAGCCTCACATTTGATTAGCAAATGTGTGGGCAAAAGGAGGGAGTGATCCAGGGGTGAAATGCTACCGGTTCTACCTGGTTCAGACGAACCGGTAGTGATAAAAACTACCGGTTCGGGTGAACTGGTAGTAAAAAATAGCTACCGATTCGTCTGAACCGGTATTTCCGACGATCAGCTGTGCCGCACGGTTTATATTTGCTAGAAAGCAGGAAATCCTGCTTTCTAGTGAAGCTAAATCGCACGGCACAGCTGTTCCCCCCCTCACTGTTCTACCTACCTAGTGAAGTCTTCTTTTTCCACACAAAGCGAATGTTTGGCACGCGCTGCCCATGCGTACACATGTGGCCAGCGAACCGCACGCACAGCCAGTGAACCGCTGGCAAACCAGTTCAGATTTCACCACTAGAGTGATCTCATTCAAGGTATGAGATTCACTCCCACGAATCCTTGGGTTACAAATGGAATAGGCAGGCTCCATTACATTCGTAACTCAAGGACTACCTGTATTACTTCCACTTCCAGTAACATATAATGAATACATTATAACATTCTCATAACTTTAAACAATTATTGAACATATGGTCATACCAGAGAACTATCCGTATAGTCAATCTTAAAAACCGTTCATGAAACTAATCTTTTTTATAGGTTCTAGGCTCAACTATTTTAAATAATTTATATATGTAATAATATATAATATATATTACATTACATAATATATGTAAATTATTACAAGTAAAGAGGGAGTACATTCCAGAAAGGGGGAGGGAGACAACAGGCAACAGAACCTGGAAATTGATAGTGTGTTCAGATAGCCACTCCTTAGATTCTCACAGGTTATATCTGTTAGGCCGAGAACAGCAAGGATTTAGTCTGGCAAGATTCTGTCTGTAATGTGTAACCAAATATAGAACTGAACTGTGGTTGAATTGTGTTCTATTTTGTTTTTAGACTTAGCCAAACATTAATGAATCTAATGCTAGTATTCATTTTAGACTAGGCACTGTGATTATGTTATTGATAACTTACTTTTCCATATGCTCTATTGTCAAAAGCAGGAGAGAGAACAAATCACAATACAGTAACTGAAACACAGCAAATCTACTTTAAATTTTTACATGTAGCAGAACATCCCCACCCCATTTAATTGAATGTGTTAAATACTGAATACAGATAAACAGAATCCTGAGTTATCATCTATCCAGATGGGAAGATTGGCTGGAGAGGCCCTGTTAAATAAACTCCTGAATTCAAAGGCTAGATAGAAAGAGGGCTTGGAGAATGACGAATCCATTAGCTGCTTTGAGTGGTCAAAGGTTTTTAACAACAACAACAACAACCACCACAAAAACAATACTAATCAGTAGTAATGGGAAAAGCTATAGATTTTCCAGGCATAAAAAATATTCCTCGGTGTTAACATCATCAATAAAATAGATGCCTTCGTGTACCTGTCCATCTTATCTCTAGTAAGCCTCTGAAATTATTTTCAATGCTGTTCAGGTTAATGGACTGAAATTGATCTTGGATAATCTAGCCCAAGACCGTTAAGTGCTTTAAAAAACATTTACTGTACTTCATACCGAACCCAAAAATAACAAAAAATCAATGGAATTGGTAGATAATCACAGTTCAAAGTTGACTGTTGGGACTTAGCCAACCAATGGTCTAGAAAAGGTTAACTTTTGCCTTATTTAGATGGTAGTAAGATTTTATAGAGAGGAAATGATTTGTATGTATGTTTTTGTTTAAAAAAAGAAGACATGGTATAGTTTTCAGCTTGTAGCTATCACTGAAATATGTCTTTTCCTATCTGCAAGACAAACTGCATGATAACATCAGAGCAATAAAACACCTCATTTTCAGAACACAATATGACATCAAATATTGGGACTGTCCAGAATATTAATAACAATTAAATTAAAAATTAAAAGTATGACTAAGCCAAGATAGGGGGAAATATTGAAGTAGCAACTAAATTAATCAATCTCCTAATCATAGTAAAACCACAAGGGTTTAAATATGATTTGAAGCCCAATATAAAGGCCATCCTGACCAAATTTAATTCATTTATAACTTTTAGAATAGTTAAGTAAATAAAACTAACTATGAAATGTACAAACACAAAATTATTTTAAGAAATAACTGAGGATATGGGGAAGCTCTTTCTAAAATAATAAACAACTGTAAGTACTGATTCCTGAGGAGATAAAAGTATCAAACTATTGTTAAAATTTAAGTTCTGATGCTTTGAAAAACATTTTAAAATTCTTTTATAATCTATTAAATACGAATATAAATTTTCCCATAGTTAATCTTTAATCACCAGTTAAGCTAATCAGTGTTCTTTACCAGTGTTCTTTATCATTCAGTAGAAGGAAGCTATTCTATGTAAATAAAAAAAATCTGTCCAACCATTTTTTACACTGAGTATTTACCTGCTAAATATAAATAAATTGTTGTATCCATGAACAATCAGATCTCTTTTATAACTCTTAGTGACTGAGATTTCATTTTGTTTTCCAAAATGCAAAGTAAAGAGGAAGTAATGAAGATAAAATTATCTTGTTTGCAGACAATTCTTAGGCTTATTATTTTGATAGCTAATCGTAACAGTCTGCATATAAAATGTTTTATCATGTACAGATAAAAAAGAAAGTTGCAAGTGATATACTGTACTGTGTACAAAGGACAAGCCAATGTAAAAACTGTTTATTTGCAAATTAACATGTTATTTGGGAAATATATAAAGCACCAAGGACATAAAAAAGAAGAGGGAAAAATACACATTTCACGAATTACAATTTTTATTTTCCCAACTGGCTGGAAAGGGAGTTTATTAATATAACAAAACTATAATTATTTAAATTGGGCAAATAAATTAACAAGTACTAGTGTTTTTTGAAAGCACAGACATCTAAAGTTCTGGATTCCTATTCTAGATACTTTATAGTCCTTGCTTAATAACAAGGGGAAAATAATTACTGAAAATAATTAAGTATTCTTATAGTTACAAAGTGATAATTCTTAAATATCTTGTTCAAAAATAAAATTTTATATAAACAGAAGCTAGGTAAGCGTTTTGCTTGCAAGTGTTTGAACTTACCTCCACTTGCATATTCCATGATTAAGTAGAGTGTTTTTTCAGTCTCAATTACTTCAAATAATTTAACTGGAACAATAACAGCAACCAAAAAAAGAAAGAGAAAGAACTAGTTTAGAGATGCTATATATATATGTATATATATACATATAAATATATGTATCTACTTGTATAATATAAATATATTTCATTCTCCTATCTGATATTCCAGTGAATGATATCAAATACAAAATACATATTTTAATCAAATTCTCCCTGGAATACAAGAACAGCAAGGCATTGCTAAACATGAGAAAGCTGGCTCCTTTTGCAAATTGCCATCCCAATTTTCTACTTAATGTCCTTTGGCTAGAAATGCTAAGGAATAGTATGTTGTTTTCACTGAGTCATAGCCTCTCAAGATGAACTGCATATTCTATAATTAAAATCACAGGGGAATCTCAAAAGCAGTTTACAGGCAGAGATAAGTATTCACAGAAAAATGTCAAAAGCCTTGCTAAACATCAGCTGAAAAAAGCTCTTTGCATTGTAGCAATAGCATTTTATTAGGGGATGCAGACCAAAATTGCAGTACTGAAACCACTTAAAGGTCAGACCTCTAAGTAGTTTCAGGAAACACCAATTGATTATATTTTAGGAAGCCACCTCCCCCCCCCCCAGAACAAATCAAAGGCTAATGCAGAAACATTTAAATGAGTCCATCCTGTTATTTCATAGTCACATTCAGGAGATTTAATACACTACAGTAGATACATAAACATTTATTATAGTCTGTAATATATAAGACAGTTAAATTTATTCAAATAAGCAAGCTAAAGCAATAGAAATGAAATAAGATATTACCTATTAACAATCATACAGGAATACATAACTATAACCCAGCTCTCCATTGTATACATCACAATTCTCACTTGAAATCAAAATCAAATAACAAGATTTGCTTTTACGTCTTCTCAAGATAGCATACAAATTGATTAATGCTAACAATTTTACTTTAAAATCTGAAAATTAACCTTTACCATTACTCTTTTTTCTTAAGAAAGTCAGAAAAATGTGTTCTATTTACTTGACTAGGATTTGAGTAGAAAGTTTAATTAGGAAAAAGTAAAATGCTGATCGATATATATATATATATAAAATATGGAAATTATATTCCTCCATTCAGAGGGGCTTCATATGGTAATTTGAGTGTCTTACTGGGCTCAGTAAATGATCAGCAAGCAGCAGGTGTGGCAAAGACTTTTGTAAAGTTACATTTTGTGCACCAATTGCAGCCATTCCTCAATGGCTCAAAATTACTGATGCCTTACTGACCTCCCATTTAGATTACTATACTACATGGAACTGCTCTTGGAAAATATTTAGAAGCTGCTGCATGAGGATTCTTCTTCAAAAGCATATTACTATCATTTGAAAGAAATCAAAATGGCCTTTGAAGTAAACCAGGAAGAAACATTACTACTCAGTTTCCTAATACTGTATAGGTACATAATATCATTTAATTATTCATGCTAGTATATTATTTATGTTTAGATAGTGAAGTGATAGATATTTTTAGATTAATTTGAATAGAGATGCACATATAGTTACTGGAAGAAATTTACAGAAATTAAGGCAGACTTCTGTATTAATAAATCAATTTTCCATAATTATGATCTTCTGTCTATATTACATTTGGTTAATTAAGGCTTTGCCTCAGGCTAAGATTACAATATTTATTCAATTTTTGGTGAACTTATAATTCTTATCAAAGATCATGTCTTCCTAATTGAGAACTAAACATTGCTAATGAATTATGCTGATTAGAGACACACAAGATTCAAAATGATTCCTCTCAAATAATTATTCAAATCAATATTCACAGCTGAATCATATACTCAGATGACATCCCAAAAGATATATAACATTCTTCGCTTCTGTCAAATTAGAATCATATAAACACAGTTATTACTTAGTGTATGTGTTTTTAACTAGATGTTCTTTATCGTGACAGTGCCAAAAAACTGTGTTGTAGTTACACATCTTGAGAAAAAAGATGTTACTTTAAAAGGTAAAAAAAGAGAAAAGCATGTTTTTTTCTGACCTGTTCATACCAATAAAAAATCCTGAGATTTAAGTAATCAGTGTTGATTGATCTTCAGAATTTAGTCCAACAATAATAGTCCTTAGCAGCTGCAAACTAGTTACTGCTTTATTCTCTTCAATATCCAAACTACAAAAAACTGATATAATCTCATTTGAAAATAAATGTGTACTTGGGTTATAAATTTAGCATGTGCAACACTGCTGAATGCTGTAGAGCTGCAGCAGATCCAAATATTTTAAGGACAAATGATGAGTCCCCTGAAGCTGAGGAAAATGTTTACAATGAGACAAATTATTTTATGGATAACAATAGCACTTAGATTTATATACCACCCCATAGTGCTTTACAGCACTCTCTAAGTGATTTACAAAGTCAGCGTATTGCCTCCAACAATCTGGGTCCTCATTTTACTGACCTCGGAAGGATGGAAGGCTGAGTCAACCTTGAACCAGTCAGGATCGAACTCCTGGAAGTGGGCCGAGTTAGCAATAATGCATTCTAACCATGGCACCACCACAGCTCTTTCCAGAAGTTGTACCTCAGCAGCAGACAAGACCAAAGGCAAACTCTCTTTGGGACACACCATTCCATTTATTAAGGCTATTAGATCTGAGCTGCAAAAAAATATTTTACTGCAATTCAGTGGCCATCTATATATTTTTTCTGTCTGAATCTGGAAGCCCATTTTCTTGCATCCATTCATATTTCCGCCTAAATTCCCTCCATATTTCTTTCAACCTCCTTTTTTCTAGCAATGCTTCTAATCCGTTTCTTTCTCCCTCCCCAGTGTCTTATTCTGTTCCCCTCCTTTATACTCTATTGTTCCCACTCCTTTTTCCTGTGCGCTCTCCCTCTCCTGTTAGTCTGAAGCTCCTCAACAAATGTTACCCAGGTGAATGAGGGCTTATTGGAGGTGGAGAAAACAGAAGCATAGCTGAGTGTTTGCTCAGAGCAGCTCAAGCTTTTCCAGAAAGAATTAATGTAATAGAGCATGTCTGAGCACTTATAAAGAAGAATAGTGCCCAAGATAAGGAGGCAGCCGTACAAAAGACAAAGCCAGGGCAGAATGAACCACAGAAAGCAGATTTTTCAATTGAAAAGCATTTCAAGATTTATCTAATCCACTCGTTCCCATATCTCAACAATTAATATTCTTTAATATGCTCCAGAAGAAATTTGGATTATCAGCTATAATGGATATATATACAACTGCTTCCTCTGAAAGGAACAAACTGCAGGCAAGATAAAGTATTCATTTACATCCAGAAGGCTTCTGACTTTGAAAACTGCCTTCCCCTGCAGAATGCTGCAACTACTTGAGTTATGATGAGCCAATGTTATTTGTGATACCTGCTCACAATATACCACAGAACGATTGGTGATATTATGACAAGTACATTAATTCTGCCTTGCAGCAAATAATTAAGGGAAAGGCATGCCCAATAGAAAGGTTTCACATACAGGAGATAACTATGTGATCAATCTGCATACTAAGACCTTGGATTTTAAATGAATAAAATACATTTTGAGTATAGTTGAGTGAAACTGTGAAAATGTAGGAAGATACTGAATGCAGTAGGAATGACTGATGTGCTTTAAAAAATCATGTGGATTATGAAGATGTTAAATGTACATTTATACATATATTTTAAAAATACATATTTGAATGGATAAATAGATCTATGCAAAAAGAGAACGTTAAAATCATACTCTACCTATGTTAGGATGATTTAAAATCTTCATTATCCTTACTTCCCTAAACAGCTAGAAAAGAAAATTAAAAAGTTAGTATTACATGTAAGAGTGCATGTAAGAGTGTTACAACTGTAATCATATTTGAAGAGTCTAGAAAATTACAAGTATACTAGAAAAAAAGATATAAGAGCTTTTCTTCTCTCCCTATACAAGCAAGCATACTTTGAATACCAAGTTTTAACACTAAAGAGATTTCAGAAGAACATTCAATCTTCTTTCAGGTTTTCTTAATCTGAACATTAGATTAGAACTTTAGAGAGTCACTTTAGTCTAGTGGTTAAGGCACCCGGCTAGAAACCAGGAAACTAGTTCTAAGATCTCCCTGACAACTCTTTCGTGTGCTGCTTTGAACATGAAAACTTTGGGACTCTAGTAAGGTGATTTGTCTTGACTTCGGGAATTTCTTCCTCACTTATGTGTACATGTTCATTTGTGCTCAAGCTTCCTCTCCAACTTCTCATTTTTAATGGAAAAATTCAGAATTCAATGAGAGAAGGAGCCTGATGAGTGGCAAAGGAAGTTCCCTGGATATATTGGTACCCTTAGCCACTACATTGGGAAGTCTGTCTATAGAGTGTAAATTATAACAGTCATTCAAATGTTGGAAAATTCCCTCAACTAAACAAGGTTGTAAAATATTCTTGGCCATTTTTTTTCCTGCAGCCCATTATACCTGTCCACATTCATTCCACAGATATGCACTGCACTGCAAGAATTAGAAGGTTTCTAAAAATCACCTCTCCATTCCACTGGCAGACATTTATAATCACCGGAATGACTACCATTAATTAAAGGTTCATAATAACTCAATAATACCTTTGTTCTTCTCCCTTATATAATTTTATTTCATATATTTAATAAGGAACATGACAACAGAAGGTTTGCATTTGTATTTACTTGTTTCTGTGAAAGCACTTGCACTGTTTTGGACATTTAGGTATAATAAATAATGCCTTTTTTATTCTTTCCTATAAAATGTAAGATTCTATTTAAATGTGTAACTGGATTGTTCTAAACTGAATTCACACCTATTATAATATAGACATTAACTGGGAAACTAAACTGCTTGCTAGATTATTTTCAACTCAAAATAAGATATTTTCATCAAGGTGTTAATAAAGTAAACAATATTCATTTGACAGCTGGGATTTTCAGTTGGGAAGATTCCAAAAGCAAAGACTGATTCCTAAGAACTGCATGATCTGCACAATGGTTTCCTTTCTCTGCTTTTGAAGTAACCAAGGTTTCAAGTTGACACTCCAAACATTTGCTTTGTTATTTTCTGCTCTAAATAGAGAAAGGAGCAGAGCAATCAAATGGTTTTATTTTATTGCCTCAGAGATAATGCTTCCAATAATAATGCTTCATTGTGGATAGAACAGAGTTTTTAGAAAAATATCACGAGATATTAGCATTCAAACAATCATCAAACAGATATAAAATTTACTGAATAAATAATAGCATCATTCATAGTTTGGAAATATACGTTCAATAGAAAATCCATCTCAGTGCTGGAAACCTAAAAATGCAGCAGGGAATGTTCAATAGTGAAACAATGGGCAAGATACACTGGTTAATCTTTCCTACACTTCCTCCTACATCTTTCCCTCCTCCAGTTGCTTTTCTACAGAGGAGATTCCTGATACGAATTTGCTACATAACTCAAGGAAACATTTTGGGTGATGGGAAGTTATAGGCATAGCTTATATCTCCTCCACTGCTCAGATTCCCAATCAGTTTGAAATGTTTGAAAGTGATCTGTGAAGATGCTGTTTTTATAATTTTTGTCCATTAATCAAAATGGCAGACACAATTCCATTTATACTACAGATTTGGGTATGCAAATGTAGGTATAGTACTTATTTCAGATTTTTGATAAAAATTCTGAGCTCAGATCAAGACTAATTTTATTACACAATTCCTTCCATTCTATCCATTAGGAGGGAAAATAACTATGATTAAAATGAAATCATTATTCTTAAAATAACCCACAATGTTTAAAAATGGAAGACAGAAGTGCCAGAAAAGAATATTCTAAACTAAGTAGTATACTTAAAAGATGGAACATCTAATGAACTTACCTTTTGTAGACTAGTTGGATTCAATTGAGTTTTGTCAATTATTTTTATTGCAACCTAGAAAAAATACAATTGTTTGATTTCTCTTAACTGTAGCTATATTACAAAGCAGAAATATTTGATTGTTAATAGCACATTACTAAATGAACAAACAGTGCACAAAATCAATGTACTGTCAATAGTAATAGTAATAATGGATGATGATATATTAAATATATACGGCACTCAGCTGCAGTGATTCTGGGCACATGGACAATGGCAGGCGTGCCTGCCGCTCGCACAAATGGAGATGTGCGCATGGATGCTAGCCCACCGCTTGCGCAAAACCATCCCCTCCCCCCCTCCTCCCAATTCGTCCCAAAGCTGGAAAGGTTGGGGAACTCTATTCTACAGCATCTGTATCACGTGGACATACTCAAGCAGCATATGGAATATTTTTGTATCTGCCTTCCAAAATGACTGAAGGAAGAATATTAAATTGAGCTAGTAAAGGCCTTTCTCAGCTTAGATACTGTAATATGGTTCAAGTATCTCACCCATATTAACAGATATGATTGCCTGCTCTGGAAAACATTCCTGGGCAACAGAGACTGTGCTTGTTGTTTGTGGAGATAAGAAAGACGACAAATGAACATAAAGTATCAACCTTTGTATATGTATTACATATCTGAATCTAACTGGTTGCAGCACCAAGATATTCTACAGCTGCAGAAAGAAGCTGAAAAGGGTAACCAACAATGAATTGGAGTCATCTGTTTATGAAAAATGACTACAACAGATGATTTTAGAAAACGATTATAAAAGTGCATAGGTGGTATAGTCATTAATGGATAGTGGCTACTATCACATGTCAAACCAATATTTCTATAAAGGAGAATGTTTTAGCTTCTCGTAATGAATAAAATTTATTGGGATTTCTAAGAACATTAATTTTAATAGTTTAATTTTACTTTAATTTACTTTAATTAAATTTTAATTTAATCAATCATTCTCCTTCATGGTTCACTGCCTTGTCATGGCAAAGGAGCTCCTGCAGCTCAATGAAGCTATGAGCTGTATTGTGCAGGGCTACCCATGATGGATAGGTCATAGAGTTCTGACAAAATATGGTCCACTGGGGAAGGAAATGGCAATCCAATATCCTTGCCAAGAAAACCCCAAGGACAGTATCAAAAGGTTAAAAGATATGATGCCAGAAGATGAGTCCTTCAGGTTGGAAGGTGTCCAATGTGCTGTTGGGGAAAAGCAGAGGGTGATTACAAGTGACTCCAGAAAGAGTGAAGCAGCTGGACCAAAGCTGAGCTGTGGCTGTATCTGATGGTGAAAAGAAAGTTCAATACTATAAAGAACAATATTGCTTAGGAACCTTGAATGTAAGAGCTATGAATCAAGATAAGCTGGATGTGATCAAACAAGAGATGACAATATTGATCATCGACATCTTGGGAATCAATGAACTAAAGTGGACAGGATGGACGAATTTAATTCAGATGAACATTATCTACTACTGTGGGCAAGAATCCCTTAGAAGAAATGGAGTAGCCCTTAATAAAAGTATGGGAAAATTAGTTCTGGGGTAGAAGCTCAAAAATGACAGAATGATCTTGGTTTGAATCCAAGGCAAACCATTCAACATCACAGTAATCCAATTCTATTCCCAAACACTGATGATGAAGTGGCTGAGGTTGACTGGTTCCATGAAAACCTACAACACTTTCTAGAACTAACACCAAAAAAAAAAAAAGATGTCCTTTCCATCATAGGAGATTGGAATGCTAAAGCAGGAGATACATTTTCAAAAGGTAACTGAAATAACAGGAAAGTTTGACCTTGGATTACAAAGTGAAACAGGGGAAAGGCTAGCAAATTTTCTTTTGTTAAGAGTTTTATCAAGAGACGTGCTGGTCATAGCAAACTTTTCAATAACCCAAGAGCTGACTCTGCACATGGACATCGCCAGAAATAAGATCGATTATGTACTTTGCAGCCAAAAATATGGTGAAGTTCTTTACAGTCAGTAAAAACAAGACCTGGAGCTGACTGTGGCTCAGATTATGAGCTTCTTATTGCAAAATTCAGGCTTAAATTGAAGAAAGTAGGGAAAACAACTAGGCCATTCAGATATGACATAAAGCATTTCCCTTATGAATAAACAATGGAGGTGATGAATAGATTTAAGGGACTAGTTCTGGTAGACAGAGTGCCTGAAGAACTAGGAATGGAGATTTGTAACATTGTACAAGATGCAGCAACTAAAACCATTACAAAGAAAAAGAAATACAAGACAGTGAAGTGGCTGTCTGATGAGGCTTTACAAATAGCTGACAAAAGAAGGAAAGCAAAAGGCAAGGGAGAAAGGGAAAGATATACCCAACTGAATAGAGATTTCTAGAGAATAGCAAGGAGAAAGCCTTCTTAAATGAACAATGCAAAGAAATGGAGGGAAAAAATAGAATGGGAAAGACTAGAGATCCCTTCAAGAAAATTGAAGATATCAAAGGAATATTTCGTTTAAAGATGGGCACAGAAGCATAGAGATTAAGAGAAGGTGGCAAGAATACCCAGAATAACTATACAAGAAAGATCTTAATGCCCCTGATAACCATAATGGTGTGATCACTCACCTTGAATCAGACATCCTGGAGTACGAAGTCAAGTGGGCCTTAGGAAGCATTACCAATAATAAAACTACTGGAGTTGATAGTATTCCAACTGAGCTACTTAAAAATCTAAAAGATGATGCTCTTAAAGTGCAGCACTCAATATGCCAGGAAAAGATCAGTTTACTTTCCAATCCCAAAGAAGGGCAATGCCAAAGAATACTTAAAAGAATTTACCATACGATTGAGCACATTTCACACTAGCAAGGTTACACTCAAAACCCTACAAGCTAGGCTTCAGGAATATGTGAACCAAGAACTACCAGAAGTACAAGCTGGGTTCTGAAGAGATAGTGGAACTACAGATAAAATTACCAACATTTGATGGATTATGGAAAAAGCAAGGGAGTTCCAGAAAAACATCTACTTGTGTTTCATTAACTATGTTAAAACCTTTGATTGTGTGGATCGCAACAAACTGTGTCAAGTTCTTAAGAAGATGGGAGTACCAGATCATCTTACCTGTCTCTTGATAAACCTCTATGCGGGGCAAAAAGCAATGGTTAGAACTGGACATGGAACAACTAATTGATTCAAAATAGAGAAAGGAGTATGACAAGACTATATATTGTTACCCTGCTAATTTAACTTATATGCCGAGTACATCTTGTGAAATGCTGGGCTGGATGAATCACAAGCCGGAATTAAGATCACAGGGAGAAATATCAATAACCTCAGATATGCAGACAATATCACTCTTATAGCAGACAGTGTAGAGGAACTAAAGAGCCTCTTGATGAGGATGAAAAAAAAAAGAGTGAAAAAGTTGGCTTGAAACACAATATTAAAAAAACGAAGATCATGGCATCCGGTCCCATCACTTCCTAGCAAACAGAAGGGGAAGAAATGGAAGAAATGACAGATTTTATTTTCTTGGGCTTCAAGATCATTGCAGATGGGGACCACAGCCATGAAATTAAAAGACACTTGCTCCTTGGGAGGAAAGCTATGGTAAACCTAAACAGCATATTAAAAAGCAGTCACATCACCTTGCCAATAAAGGTCTGTATAGTCAAAGCTATGGTTTTCCCAGTAATAACGTATGGCAATGACAGTTGGACCATAAGGCTGTGTGCTGAACAATTGATGCTTTCGAATTGTAGTGTTGGAGAAGACTCTTGAGAGTCCTTTGGACTGCAAGGAAATCAAATCAGTGAATTCCAAAGGAAATAAACCTGACTGTCCTTTGGAAAACAGATAATGAAGCTGAAGCTGAAATACTTTGGCCACCTAATGATAAGAGAGAACTCATTGGAAAAGATCCTGATGCTGGGAAAGATTGAAGGCAAAAGGAGAAGGGGATGGCAGAGGATGGTTAGATAGTGTCACTGATGCAATGAACATAGATTTGGACAAACTCCAGGAGATAGTAAAAGATATGCTATGGTCCATGGGGTCATAATGAGTGAGACATGACTTAGCGACTGAACAACAACCACAGTTTAATTTAGCAACATTTAATCAACCTTTTAGTTGTACTGTTTTAAGCTAAAAGAGACTTAGTGGTGCAGCAAACTAAAGTGCTGTTAAATAGCACCAGCTGCCTGCAATTACTGCAAGTTCATCTCACCAGGTTTAAGGTTGACTTAGCCTTCCATCCTTTCGAGGTAGGTAAACTGAGGACCCAGCTTGTGGGGGCAATAAGCTGACTTTGTATAAAAAAGACAACTGCTGGGGGGTGGGGACGAAAGCCCTACTAAGCAGGTATATACAAAAGTATGAAGGCTATTGCTTAACGCACTATAAGCCACCCTGAGTCTCCGGAGAAGGGCGGCATATAAATCAAACCAATAAATAAATAAAACATTTTGTTAGTATTAATTATAGAGAAAAAACACATCCTGTTAAATTTATATGATTCTATGCAAAGTTCACATTATTTTAATTATTAAAAATTATTATATTAGGAAATTTATCTTGCAAAATCTAAAAACAAAAATGCCAGTACAAGACTTTACCTCTCTGCCAGTAAGGATGTGTCTGGCCAGCTTCACTTTTGCAAAATTTCCCTTTCCAATTGTCTTAAGGAGTCTGTAATTTCCAATATGAGGCTGCTCATCTGCACAAGAAGCTATAGAATTCCTACAGCGAGCCCCAGACCGACTAGTGCGGGAGGAAATTTCCTGTCGTCCTTCACTGTGAGAGGTATGCTATAATAAAAATAGAAAAAATTAGGATATACTGTGACACAATAGACTCTAGAACTCATAATTAAGTTGATATCAGATTAAGAGACACAGAACAAAATATTGTTTTGCAGTATGTTCAACTACTACAGATTTTGTTAACAGCTGGTGATAGCCATCAATTCAGGTGACTTTAAAACAGTTTAAGTATATAAGTTATGACAGTCAAATTAAAATTTTGATATTTAAACAGAAAATATTTCTGTTAATAGTTTTGGAAAAGCCAAAAAGCAAACACCTCTTTTTTTCTTTCTTTTTTTTTTACAACTTTTGCAGTCTGCCTATTGAACAATCTCAGTAGCTATTGGGAACAAGATGGATTACACATGGATTTCATACTTTGATTTCTAAAAAAAAAAATTTTAAATGCAGTATAACGTAATAGTATCTTTACTGAACACACACACTTGTTGAAAAGTTTAAATCAGTAATACAAAATAGGCATTTCTTGCAATGATATGGAGAGATTCTGTTGGTTTCCACCATATTTCACATTTTAGTAACACATAAAGTCAATATTTTGCATAATTATTTAAAATCTTTGATAATACCAACTATAGCACTTTTGTCCTGTCTGCAAAAAGAAATAAGCCCAAAACCAACCATGTATCCAACCTCTTTTTTAAATAAACTTGGAGATAAAACTAAGTCATTATATTTATGAATCATTTCCATTTTTTAATAATTGGATATGCAAACTTCATGATTTCCAAAGAAAGTGAAGTCCTCCCTTCTTCCCCACAACCACTTTTAAATAAAACTTTGCTTAAAGAAGAAATTTCAAAATCTTGAAACAGTTTTATACATTAGGTTGGTCCCAATACATGTCCTGTATGACCTTGGATTTTGGAATTTTCATTAATGATCAACACTACATTATTCATTTATTCCTTCCTTCAATTTATATGGTTGCCCACTTGTCAAGTGATTTTTATTTTATTCCCAGTCAAGGAAGTCTAGGCTCCATCTATGTAATCCTTCTGTTGACAGGATAAAACACATTTATTCAGAAAACTCTCTTGCTTTTAAGATGACAAAATAAGTTTTATTTTAGGAGGAGCTATTAGTTTCTCTTAATGAATTATTTTAGTGTTGTAACAATAATTTGGTAATTTATCATTTTACCACTGATAGTGTTAAACACCTTTTTATTTTACAAGTGAAATATTTGCTTTAGACATATAATAAACATACCTGTATGGTCAAAATATTTTCCCCAGCTTTTTAATAATCTAAATTAGACAATTTATTGTAAACATAACTGGCCATTGCAATATCGTACACAAAACTTTACAATTTTGATTCTATTATTGGAATTATAATAAAGTGGCACTGCCATATGTACTATATCATGAATCTTCTTTTCTTTACAATAATATTCTAGCATAATTGTTTCTTCATATTCTTCCTTATATTTACATTTAGTATTTCCTTTATATTTTTATTTATTTAAAACATTTATAGAGCTGCCCATCTTCTAACCAACTCTGGGTGGCTCCCAATCAAAAATTAAAACAACATATAAAATCATAGTAAAACTATAAAACTAAACACATTAAAACATTGACAACAAAAACTGGTAACAAGTCCAACTTCTATATGTGCAGTCATAATCTTATCCCAGCACTTGGGGAAAATATTTTACAATTAATTTCCTATATTTTACAATAATTCATACTATTTTACATGTCCTTGTACTTTCCGGGATCTTGCAGACGAGTTGTGGAATAAGCGGAATCGGGGGAAAGGCGTATAGCAGCCCCAGAGGCCAGGGAATTGTGAGTGCGTCGATCCCCTCAGCTTGCGGACAAGGGTGGCGAGTGAAGAACCGAGGGAGCTGGGCGTTGTCCCGATGGGCGAACAGGTCGATGACGGGGGTCCCGAAGCGGTGGGACAGCTCGCGGAAGATGTCCGGGTGAAGGCATCATTCTGAGTTGTCTATCTACGTTCTGCTCAACCAGTCCGTGGTGATGTTCATCGTCCCAGAGATGTGTTGTGCCCGGAGGGAGAGGAGGTGGCACTCCGCCTAAGTCAGCAACCGGGATGCCTTGTCCATGAGCGGTTTCAAGCGGGTGCCCCCTTCGCGGTTCACGTGTGCCATCGTTGTCACATTGTCCGTCTGGACCAGCACATGGTGACCCTCCACCGATGACTGGAACTGGAGGAGGGCGAGGCGAACCGCGCGAAGTTCCAGCCGTTGATCTCATTCTGGCGATCCGCCGGCGGCCAACTGCCCTGAGCAACTTGGGAATGCATGTGAGTGCCCCAGCCGGTCAAGCTGGCATCGGTCGTTATCATGAGACAATGTGGTTCCAAGAAGGCGCAGCCCTTCGTTAGAGCCGACGAAGTCCACCAGCAAAGAGACCCGCGAACCTGTCAGGAGGGATACCCGAGACGTGGAATTGCTGTGGCGGGAACGCTGGTATGGGAGCATGAACCACTGAAGCTAGCGACCATGAAAACGCACCCACGGGACAATAGAGGTACATGAAATCATCTTCCCAAGAAGACGAGACAGGAGCAAGAGAGGGACGGATTGGAGCGAGAGAATTTGACGAATCAGTGTCTGGATGTTGTGGCACCGGGGTGTCCGGGGACAGGAAGACCAGCCCCTTGCTGGAATCGATAACGGAGCCCAGATGTAAGATCCTGGTAGTGGGGCACAAGTGGCTCTTTGGCAGGTTCAAGGATAAGCCGTGGTGCTGAAGGCAGTGGCAAACTGTGGCCAGATCCCGTGCGGCTTGGGTCTGTGTGGACGACAAGATGAGCACATCGTCCAAATAACAAAGTACTCTGATTGGCATCTGCCGAAGATGTGCAGCTATGGCCGACAGGAGCTTTGTAAAGGTCCTGGGTGCGGATGAAAGTCCGAAAGGCATCGCCCTGTATTGAAAATGTTGATGATTGTAAGAAAAGCGGAGGAAACGACGTTGAGAAGGCCGGATCGGGATGTGGAGATAGGCCTCCTTGAGGTCCACTGAGGTCATCCAATCTCCCTCCTGGATGCATCCCAAGATAGATTTCAGGGATTGCATTTTGAACTGATGATAGAGGATGTATTTGTTCAGTTCTTTGAGGTCCAGGATCCCCCGGCAGCCTCCGGAGTGTTTTGGAACCAGGAAAAAGATTGAATAAAAACCGGTCCCATGGTGTTCTGTGGGAACCGGCTCTATGGCACAAATGTCGATGAGATGTTGTATCTCCGCCTCCATCAGTCGACATTTGGTTGGGTTGGATGACACAGGGCACTGGATGAACCTGTTGTGGGGGCAGGATCGAAGCTCCAAGGTCAATCCCAGCTGGATCGTCTGGAGTACCCATGTGTCCGAAGTTGTCGATTCCCATTGGGCTGCAAAGTGCTGGAGGCGGCCACCAATGGGAAGGTGATGGAGGGCGTCATTTGCCTCTTCGAAAGGCACAGGTCCCCGCACCTCTGAAAGGGCGTTTGGGTGGGCCGAGTGCCTGCCACGATCCCGGAAGGAAGATCTGTCATAGGGACGATCAAATCCATGGGAGTATTGTCTTGTGGCGAAGGACCTGCTGGGTCCGGGTTCAGCTCGAAAGGGCTGCCTCTGGCTGTATGAAGGTATTTTGCGCTCGGTCTGCCAGTAGGATGAGGGCATGACTTTGCGCTTGTCCTTATCTTCCACAAGAATCGGGTCTAACGCCTCCCCGAAGAGATGAGTCCCTTTATATGGGGCTGATGCAAGTCTCCACTTTGACTTCATGTCCGCTCTCCACTGCCTCAGCCACAGCAGGCGCCTGGAAGTCACAGACGAGACCAGGGCACGAGACGCGAATTTGGCGGCATTGAGTGAAGCATCAGCAGAATACTCTGTGGTCGCAACAATCTTATTAATGTCTTGGTGGACCCTTGTGTCCTCCGGTGGCAAACGCTCTTGGAGTTGGCGCAACCAAATGAGGGTTGCCCTGTTGAAAAACGACACCGAGGTCGCCGCCTTGACCGCCCAGGCCGCCGGGTTGTGTGTCTTGCGGACTGTGAGTTCCGCCTTCCGGTCCTCTGTCCGAAGGCCGTCGGGGATGTCGTGAGACAGGAGCGTGGCAGACGAAGTCAAGTTCGCTACAGGCGTATCCACTGCTGGTAATGCCAAGACGTCCTGGAGAGACGGGGCTGAACAGTATAACTTACAGTCAAGACTGGTAGGTGCCGGTAAGGAATACGGCAGGTTCCAAGAATGTTGCACAACTTCCGTGAAAAGTTGAGGACACTGAATGTAGGTTTGTTCCGTTTTAGGAATGTTAAATAGAGTATTGTGCGGTTGCGACATTGTTGGCAGATCGGAGAGACCCTCTGAGGTGGCCAAATGAGTAGATGACTTTGCCTTGTGCAATAAGGACTTAAATAGAGATGGTCGGAATAGACCAGTAAACGCCGGCCTGTCGGGAAGGACGTCATCATCGTCGAAAAACTCCATGTCCCTTTGGGCCTCCTCATCCTCCAGAGAGGAGTCCTCAGATTGAGCAACTGAGACGAGCAGCAGTCTGCCTGATCATCATAGTGAGAGACTTGAGGAGCCGGAGGAGGAGGCGGAGCGGTGAAGGTGGTGGCGGAGGAGGAGGTGGAGGGGGTGCAGCCATTGAAACCGGTCTGTACAAATTAGGTTGGTGTGCGCTAGCAGCCAAAGTCCTGGATATAGCTTGAGAAATGAGATTCTCTATGTCACATGCTAACATGACATGTGAAGGACCCCCCCGGGTGGAGCCCCACGGCCGTGGGTGTGTAAGTAGCCTCCGGAGGAGGGCGCTGAGCAGGAGGCCGTGTACGAGACAAATCCACCGGAACTGCTATGCCGTGCAAGAGGGCAGCGGGAGAATTCACCACTGCGGGCATTGGAGAAGAACCGGTCACAAGAGAGTGACCTTGGCACCCAGAAGGCATGATCCCTGAAGTGGGGGGCAGAAACCCCTACAGGGCCGGCAGCTGGAATGATTGCAGGCAAGGC